TAAAAAAATTTTTTGGTGTCCCCTTAAATTTTGCATCCACAGCAAGTACCTAATTTGCCTCAGACTAGTCCTGGTTCTATAAGGGATACAGACAATAAACAATGAATATAAAACACTAATAGGTTATATAGTATATTAGAAAGTGGTAATTACTAGAAAAAAGCAGCAGCAGAGCAGGGTACGAAAGACTGGGAAGACAATGCGATGCAGAAAATTTCAGTTTTAAATAGAATAGTCAGGATAGGTCTCATGGAAGAGGTGAGATCTGAGTAAAGACTTAAGGGAAAGAAGGAATTAGCCAAGTGAAGATCTAGAGGGAAAGATATCCAGGAAGAGCTAAAGCAAAGGACTTAAGAGGAGAGCATGCCAGTAGAATTGAAGCAGAGAGTCCAGGAGAGATAGGATTTAGGAGACAAGGTCAGAAAAATAAGGAGGTAGAGGGGGAACAAATTAAGCAGGGCTTTCTGGGCCATTTTCACCTTATAAAATGGAAGCCAATGCAGGGTTTTAACAGAAGCATGACAAAATCTGACTTCTGTTTTATATTTTTATTTGTTTAATATGAAAAATTTTAAACCTATATACATACAAATTAAAAGAATACTCCTCTTTTTCTCTGTCTTTCAATATAACATTCAGAGTAATCAGACATCATGACAATATATCCCTAAATACTTTGGCATCCATTTTCTAAAAATAAGGACTTCTCTAACATAATCACAATACCATTTTCACATTTAAGAAAATTAAAATTCCTTATTCTTTAAATTTTCCAGTCCATATTTAAATTTTCCCAGTTGTCCAATTGTCCTCACAATGTTTTTTCAATCTAGAATTCAATCAAATATCACACACTGCATTTGTTTATGTCTTTTAGAAACCTTTATCTGGATGGAAATGGAGACCATTCTCCTAAGTGAAGTACTGCAATAATGGAAAAACAAACACCACACGTATTCACTATTAAATTGGAACTAACTAATCAGCACTCATGTGCACAGATAGAAGTAAAACTCAATCAAAATCATGCAGGTGGGAGGGGGGAGGAGGGCACAGGTGAAATCATACCTAACAGGTACAATGTACACTATCTGGGTGATGGGCACACTTACAACTTTAACTCAAGGAGTACAAAAGCAATCCATATAACCAAAACATTTGTACCCCTGTAATATTCTGAAATTAAAAAACAAAAAACAAAACAAAAAAAACCCTTAATCTTGAAGAGTTTCTGAAACCTGTGGGTTTTGTTTGTTTTTAAATCTTTACAGCATTGAGGTTTTAAAGAGATTGGGCTAGTTATCTTATGGAATGTTCTACATTCTGAATTTATCTCATTATCTCTAAGGTGTCATTTAACTTGTTTCTCCAACCTCTCTATCTCTTGTAAACAGTTAACTGTACAGCCTTCAAATGACACAGGTTAACCACGGGGGGGCAAGAATGTTTTATAAATGGTGCTCTGTATTTCATATTGCATTACATCAGGACATGCATAATACCTTACTTTTAAATCTTTCTAAATTTTATTACTTGGGTTAAAGGAATAATAGCCAGGACAGACTGTAAGAGGCAAGAAAAGAGAGGCTATTACGAAGCTATTGAAATCATTACAGTGTGAGATGATGGTAGCTCAGACCAATGTACTAGCAGTAGAGGTGATGAGAAGTAGTCAGACTTTGTATATATTTTGAAGTTAGAGTCAATCCATTGGAAGTGGAGTTTGAGAGAAAAGAGTCAAGTATGCAAGAAGAATCAAGTATGATTCCAAGGCATTTAGCCTCAGATACTCAAAGGGTAGATTTGATATTGCCTGAGATGGGTAGGCAGGAAGTCATGGGGGGAGTCATGGGTAGTTCAGGTTTTTGGGAGGGGGAAAAGATCCAGTCTCAGATATGTTAAGTTTAAGATGTCTATTGGCCATCCAAGTGGATATGTCAATTAGTCAGCTGAATATATGCATATGTAAATCTGAAGCTTAGGAGAGAGGACCAGGATGACAATGATATAAATTTGGAAATCTTGGCATAAAGTTGGTATTACATTTAAATCTATTAGACTGGATGAGATCACCAAGGAATGAGTGTAGATAGATAACAAAAAGCTGAACCCTGAAATACCCCAATATTAAAAGGTCAAGATGACCCAGCAAAGAAGACTGAGAATTAATAATCAGGGAGGTAGATGGGAAACCAAGATAATGTGTATACTAGAAGCCAATAAAGGAATTATGTCAAAGAAGAGTGAGTGATTAATGGTGTCAACTGTTGTGCACACATAGATCAAGTATGCTTAGGATAAGAATTAAACAATTCTTATTTAGTAATAAAGAGGTGAATTTAACAGCAAACAAGTTAACTGTTTACAAGAGATAGAGAATTTAACAGTTTTGGTGGAACAGTGGAGGTGAAAGCTTGATTGGAGTTAGTTTAACAGAAAATGGGGAGAAGGTATTAGGGGTCTGAGATGGTATGAAATACTTGTCTAGAAGAGTGGAAGAGTGAATGAAAGAGTGGCAGACAGTAAGATTACTACCAGGAAAAGATTCATGGTCATGAATTTAAAGTGAAAATAGTCCTTATGCTGGTATTTTTCTCCAGCCATGTTTAGCTATTCAGGGGTAGGTATAGAATAGGTGGAGAAAAGGATTAATCATGTTGTTGTTTTGCCAAGGAGCATAATGAAATGAGAGGGGCAAGGAGTCAAAAGTACATGCAAGGGACTGATAAATACTGCCCTCTGTAACTTAAGCTAGATATTGAGGTTGCCATCAGTTGAGGAATAGAAAAAAAGAAAAAGGAAAAAAAGGTGTTAGATAAATGCATTGGAGGACCCAATACAATCAGAGTAGCAGAGGAAGTGGGCTACAGACATAAGTAGTATAATCAGACAATGGGATACATGAAGTTGGGATCATGGTGCAGTCAATATCTAATACTTTATATAATTCATATTTTTCTTTTTTAAAAACTTCTCAGAAACAATGATAAGTTAAGTTTTTCTTATATTCTAGTATAAAAAGATTTTCTTACCTCTGAAGAGGAAGGTCGACTTGGATTGAGCGACATATTCGCTAATGTCTGAATAGGATAATTATCAGTTGGAATTTTGGGGTTTTTAAAATCTTTCTTCATTTAAGTAGTATTAAATAAAGGTTATAATAGATTTCTGGCTATTTAATATAGCATTCCAATCATTTCTGGTCTCTGATTTGTTCAAGAAATAAAAAGAAAACACAAAAGCTTTAAAATAGAGTCGAAATGCAAATTTAGGAATGTACACAATCTTTTTATTATTCTAACTCAGAAAGACATGCTACTAGTAAATAGGTCTGGAGGGCTGGTAATTGCAATGAAATGAGCATACTTCCTATACAACTAAGTAAACCAATAAATGACATTGCAATGGACTTCTGACTGGGATATATTTTTCTATTCTAAATGATTCCTTTTTTCTTGGTGAAAAATTAAAGTCAAATATATAGCATTTTACATAAAGTAGAAACATACTTTTGGAACTAGAAAGACTGAGTTTATATAAATGACTGTAGAATGATGAAACCATTTTACCATATGTATTTCTTTCTGGGCCTGGATGCCTCAATAATAATAAATATGAACAATCATTCCAGATGAAAATACCAACCTTTAAATATATCAGGCTTCATTTGTGTATTATTTCCTGGGTTTTTCCTCAGAGGAGTTATAATAGTTTATAAGAATGCATGATAGAATTAAAGATATATAAACTATATAATAAAAACTGAAAAATAAGGTAGCTGAATTATTACTTTACAAAGGAATTATCAAAGGAGGACAATCCTTAAGAATATACTAATCATACCAACACTGGAGTAGAAACTTTTTCTAGATTTCAAAACATTGCTCCACCTTGGGTTATGTTAAAAAAATAATTTAAATCCAATAAAACTTAAAATATCTCTGATCTGGTACAGATTATAGCTCTATGAAATCCTAATTATGAAATACTTATTATTTTAATGGTATCTAAATTAAAAGATCATTTTCTGGGATATCTTTTAAATCAGTGTCACATATTACATCCTACATAAATTTCTTACAATAATTTTATTATAGTCCAGTAAGCTAAGAATCTTACAATAAATAAAATTTAAAACGTGATTGTCATTTTGACGAAGTCAAACACTATTTTAAATACATTAGTACTTTAAGAAAACATTTAGATAGTTCCATTTCTATATCCAACCAAAGGCTTTTTCTGACAATGTACTAATATTAGTCTCTATTATGAACCTAAATGAAGTTTATGACTCAGATACATATATGGTCACTTCCTTGTTAGATAAGAATTAGTGGTAATAATCTACAATAATTATAGCACATGGGCATTCATTAATTAAATGGTATGCAAATAAAGCTATACTTTTTAATTTCTGTAGATATATTAAAATTTGATATTTTAATTTGGAATAATTTTTTTTGAGACAAGGTCTCACTTTGTTGCTCAGGCTAGACTGCAGTAGTGTCATCACGTCATCGTAGCTCACTGCAACCTCAAACTCCTGGGCTGATCCAAACTGATTCAAACTCCAAGTGATCCTCTTGCCTCAGCCTTCCAATTACCTGGGACTACAGGCCCTCCACCATGCCTGGCTAATATTTTCTCTATTTTTGTATAGATGGGATCTCACTATGTTGCTCAGGCTGGTCTCGAACTCCTGGCCTCAAGCGATCTTCCTGACTTGGCCTCCCAAAGTGCTAAGATTATAGGTGTGAGCCACCACGCCTGGCCCCAGAACAAATTTTTAATTAAGCAAACTCAAGACAGGTCAATCAAGACCTTTATTGTTGTTCTAAGGTAAACTGCCCTACTATACAGGTTGAGTATATATAATTCAAAAACCCTAAATATGAAATGCTCCAAAATCTGAAACTTTTTGAACCTTGACATTACACACAAAGGAAATTGCTTATTAGAATGTTTTAGATTTTGGATTAGGGATCCTCACCTGGTAAGTGTATAAGGCAAATATTTTGAAATCTGAAAAAATCTGTAATCTGAAACATTTCTGGTCCCAAGCATTTCAGATAAGGGATATTCAACCTGTACTATTCCTTCTAAAGTAATAGCAAAGAACCCATGTTTTGTATTATAAGAACTCCCTTGCCATTTCTGACTGGATAAATGTTGGAGACCAAATCCTGGGCTGGCCAGAAATAAATGAAATGGCCTAATGTAAAAAGATGAGCCCTTGGGAATTAGAATTGGGATGAGAGCTCAAGGAAAAAGTATTAGTAGACACTGAAGCAAAAAGAATATAGAAAGAGAAGTCATGTAGTATCAAAGCCAAAAGGCAAGCTCATGTTATAAAAAAGCTGTAATTATTTGCAAACAGAGATAGAAAAATATAAAATCAAGAAAATGACCAAGTAAAGTGGTAGTAAGAGGGCCAACTGAGGAGATACATAGCTGAGTCATGTTCATAGTAAAGCACTAAAGAGAAGAGTCCAAAACTCTTGTTGCTGAAGTCCCTAGCCTTGGATCTACTTTCAGTTTGCATTGTCAGTGTCACAGTTTGTTTTTGGATTTCCATGAGATATCTGTCTCCACTACTGCTCTATGTTGATCTTTACAATAATCTCCCCATTGCCTGAGGTAACTTGAGCAAGTCTTTGTTATCAAAACCACAAGAGGCTAATTAAAACTTTAGGCATGCTTAGAATTTGTAGTTGATCCTAACAAAATCACATTTCATATACTAAATCCTAACATATAACATTTGGGATTTTCGAATTCTTTACCTATTTCTAATTAGCTAATGAAGAAAATAATGCCAACAAATTCAAACAAACAGAGACTGATAGCTCAATGATCAAAGGTAAGTGGCTACAGAGTTCCAGTCTAATCTCTTATTTATTGCATAATTTTGCTTTACCATCCTCCTGCCAGGAATGGAAGATCAACTTTATCTTGTACTCTAATTCCCATCAGTTTGTACTGGCTGTCTAAAAGCGAGTTACTGAAAAGGATCCCAAGGCCACATCTGGCCTCAGTAGGAAAGCATACAGAAATGAATTATCATAATCAACTATGGATTTGAGAAGGCATACCTGTTAGTAGACATAACACTTATTTTCCAGCTCTGATCTAGTCTCTACTTTCAAAAGAATTAGCTATCATGCTTTCTCTGTACTTTTCCAAAATGATTTTGGAGTTTGCAGCAGAGCTGAAAATCAAGCTTACAACTTACTCTGTTCAGTACCTGGAAATAAGGATCCTGATAATTTTTATTTCCTGTTCAATTTGATAATGTGGCATACAAGAAGATGCTCGATAAGGCTTTAGAAAATGCAAAATAAATACTAAAATTAGAAACCTGACATGGGCTATGTTTAAATAATACAGAATCTCACACAAAGTACCCAGATGGATTGGAAATCAGAAAAGCAGGTTTCTAGTTCTGTATAACCCGTAAGACTGTTCATTGGTCTAAGTCTCTTACTGTTGCCCTAAGGTAAACTGCACTACTATACAGGTTGATTATCTCTGAAGTGACTTGAACTCTTTAAGATACTTTGCAGCTCTAAAATTATTTGATTACTTGATTGCTCAAGGAATGCAAAAAGTGACAGGGAAACTTTTACTCTAGAAAAAGAAATCAGAATATATTAATAGTCAACCTCATGCCAGATGATGGAAGTTTTCTTGACATAATTCCTGATTCTTAAATCATCAGAGCATGAAGTCTATTGGATCAGGATAAATTCAGGTTACCTGAATGTCTCAGAACATTTTCTCTATCACACAAACTAGCTATATAACCATATGTCAAGTCATTCATTCTCTCCAAACTTCAGTATCTTTAACCACTATAGAAACAGAATATAAGCTCATCCTTTGAGAAAGGGGTCAGAATTGTGAAAACTCCCTTTAGAGAGATTCAGCTTTTAAACTACAAAGTAAGACACACGAATCTTGAAGTATTTTAGTAATTCAAATACTGAATTTAGAAGTCTTTAGTGAAATGAATAACTTAGTGAAGAACTTACTGTACTAATCAATTGAATAAGGTGAAGATTCCAGGTAAATTTAAATTGACAGTGCTTTGCTGACAAAACATAAAATGACCAATTTCTTGGTTGTGTTTCCTTGCCATTCATTTTTATAAGGATTCTCTTGGTGCCCAACTGTTTTTTCAACAAGGCTTGTCTTTAACCATCTGAAATGTGAACATCTAGCATACATACATACATATCAGACAGATATGATTGGTTAGGTCTTTGAAATGTGGGAGGTCAAAGAACATCTCCTAAACAAAGGTTTGTTCAGGAGATACTGACAGTTCATAAATTATATTTACTGTTAATCACTTCAGATGCAATTGAACTTAAAGTGAACTCAATGTTTTTTTTCTTCTTTCCTATCCTAAATTGAATCTTTAATTAAACACACATTACAAAAAACAGCATCTGGTGTTTGATATAGCAATCTAGTTTGTAGTTTCCCAAAACAGCAGTTAACAAAAAAACAAACTTTTTCTGAGACTGTTTAAGCCTAAAACACCATATAGGGTTTGCTTATTTTTCAACACTCTTCCTCACAGAAGAAAGGATTGTTCGTGGTCATTTCATTAAAATAAATGAAAAAAAAAAAAAAAAGGCTTGGACCACATATTCTCTGAAATCTCTTCCAGCACTAACATTCCCTAATTCTTACCTTAGGGTTTAGAGGTATATTCTAAAACTACTGTAATATAGAACATTCTTTAAGATATTTATGTTTAATCTTATAAATCTGTAGAGTATGAATGAGATTTTAGCACTACATAGTCAACAAGGCACCAAAGGTGAAGTAGTTTAAAATACTGCTGGGGAAAAAGGCGAAACAATATTTAGTGAGATTTCTTTCATATTTTTTACATCCATAATTTTTATTTCACTCTCAAAAAACAATTCCAGGAAGTAAGCTTTATTATTTCATTTCGAAATGAGGAAACGAAGGCTCAGTGAAGATCAGGTGGCTCGCCCAAGGATACTACAGTAAGTGGTGGAGCCAGAATTCAAACCTGGTTTCTAACTCCAGTCATTATATTCATTGTATAAATTAAGTAAAATGCTAAACTCACACTGTACATTTTTGCTGATACAAACTGTTGAGTAAATGTTAGGTTGTTTTGTTGACCCAGAGCAAATTATACATGATTTTCTCATAATATAAAACATTTGAAGTACACTAATGATGAAATTATTCATGTTTATAGAAAATATTAGTGTATTCTGAGATGGACTAACCCAACAGAAACAGGAAACACTTGTCTTAAGTGCTGGGACACGCTAAACGCGTTTCCATGGGTGTGAGACGAAGTGGCTGAGCCTATTTTCTTTGGTTAGATTCCACAGTCTCTACTGAAAACTCCTTTAGGGATCAATTTTAAGCAGGAGGTAATAAATTACAACTGAAACAAAAGAGCAAACTTTTCTCAAACACAAAGTTTTATTTTAAAAAGTACAATAAGCGTTAATTCTACAAATGGATAACAGAGGAGACAGGTGTAAATCTTCAGCCAGCTCCTTGGCTTCTTTAGAACCTTTCCCAGAAAACCGATTCTACAAGTGAGAGGCGACGGAAGGCAAAGCTTGAGAAGATCCTCTTTTCTTCAGCGAATCGGCGCCCCGGCTTCGGCCCGCCCGGCCCCCTCGATCGGTCAGAGCCACCTCCCCGCCCTCTTTCCGCCTCGGGGGTCTGGCCGTGAGGAAGCGGACTGAAGGTGCGGCTGGCCAAACTCGGGTCACACAGAGACACGACTGTGCGGGGGTGGGGAGCGGGTGACTCCCGCTGGGTACAACTAGGTCCTACGCCTCAGCTGGGCTCGCCCCTTCCTCAACACCCGCCGCAGACTGCACAAGGCAAACTGGGACCTCCTCGCCACCAGGCCTTTCAGAAACTCCCTCAAGCCTCTGACTTCCCTACTGGTCCTCTTCAAAGTCCCTCTCGGGTCTTGGCGGCTAACGACAAACTTTTTCCTTACCTCTCCCAAGCCGGCCTCTCCCGAGAGTGAAGGAGAGGCTAGGCGTAGACTCGATCTCTCCTGGCGCAACCGCCGCGCCCACCGACCGCTCCGCCCCTTCCTCTCTTCTCTCCTCCCCTCCCCCAGGCTAGCGCTCCCGCCAGCCGCCGAAGCATTGGGCGGGGAGGGGCGCGCATGCGTACCGAGGGTGGCGCCGCTAGGCACAGAACCGGAAACTTAGAGACAAAGTTAGGAGCCCCGCCCCCGCCGCGCGCTGCCTAGCCGTCTGGCCCCGCCGAGCTGCGACCCACCGACCCACGAATTGGCCTGGCTCTCGCATGCGCCATGTCTGGTTCCTCCAGCGTCGCCGCTATGAAGAAAGTGGTTCAACAGCTCCGGATGGAGGCCGGGCTCAACCGTGTTAAAGTGAGCGGGGGCGGGCGGCCTAGGGGGAGGGGAAGGCGGTCGCGGCGGGTGGGATCTCGCTGCCGAGTTGGCTGGGGCGGGCAGGACGCGCAGCGACTCTCGCTTCCCCTGGGGAGGACGCGCGCCTGGCGGCGATGATCCGGGAGCTGCCAACTCGAGAGAGGACGCCTCGCGGGTCGGCGCTGTGGTTGGGCTGGCCAGTTATTCCGTCCTTCCGCCCCAGGACTTTCCAAGGCGGGCTGGTCCCCGGACTGAACTGCGGCCCGCATTTCGGTCCTCCGCCCTCTCTCCCTCCCTCGGCCGTGACTCCTCCGCTAGCCTAGCCAACAGCTGCTCCTCCGCGCGCGGTCCGCACCCTTCCCTTCCCTCTCTACCGGCCTCCACCTTTTCTGGTTACTGGACTGGGTGTTTTCCGACTTTTGATTCAGAGCAGACTTAGGTCTTCTTTTCATGTCAGATCTTTCCCAAACCTAGTCCCTTTAGTAGTAGATTCTTACCTCCAGCTTCTCTCGTCCACTGAACACACACTAGAAAACGAATTCTTGCATAACCTGAACTATGGATTAAAGAAGCATGTTTCCGAATCGTACGTGGAGTCTGATGTTACCATTGGTGCCCCGTACAATCTCGAACAAAGGGTACATTTCATACGTCTTCAGCACGGTTTGCTTATATCTGACCTTGTGGATATCTACTGGTCTGCATGCCCGAGAAAGTGATCAGGATGGGCCAGTATTAATTAATTTTATTTATTTTGGCGTTTGGTTAGCACTGGCCTTGTCTTGGAGTATTTATTTTGGGGGAAAAGCTTTTTGTCTGTTTTGATATGACAACCTGACATTCAGGTGCTATTCTAAGTATTTCTTGATTTTTAAAATCCTAAATAGATTGGCTTCTTTCTGGTGCAATAGGTTAGGTTACATGTGTCACACTTTTTGTAATTAAAAAGGAAACATATAAGTCATATAAGCCAGTTTCCAAGATGATTTAATTTTATACTATTAGGCTAGTCTTAAATGTTTTGTGGAGAGGGAGAGGGCCTCTCATTTAGCTTTAACTGGAAATGTTAGGGATCTAGCTTGCTCAGTTGGCACCTCAGGAGGGAAGGGAAATTCCTATTGGTTTTGGTGTGGGAATTCCCTCACTTCCCGTCCTTTAAGTGCTGTAGTTGGTACTGCTGTTTGGAACCTATTTCTGAGATCTCCCAGTTCTTACCTCATACCAGTGGTCTATTATGGTCAGTCTTGGCTAGATTTAGCTCTGAAATTTGAAATCATGTATTTCTTAAACAACTATTATTCAGGTGTGCCCTTACCATAGATTGAATGGGCCAGGAAAGAAAAAAATGGGGAGAGAAAGCAAAAAAAAAAAAGGTGAGTGAAAGCAGTAATTTTAAGTAGGTAGGGCTACTTAGCCCTAGTCTTCAAAGAAAATGAAGTCCTCAGGCTAACGTACTCCGGGAGCTTTACTTTGAAAAATCCTAGCCACTGCCCTCGCCAGACCAGATCCTACCCGTATACCTAATTCTTCAGAAAGTTTCTGGTTGGGATCATTAAAGCCACCACAGATGGTTTGGTATTGGAGTTCTCCACATTGGCTTGGTGTAGCAAGGAGGGGAGAGCATCTCTCTTTGGGATTTTAAATGAGCTTTTCTTTAGATAAGTTGTTAAATGTGGTTAGGTTCCTTTTCACTTTGGGCATGTTATTTTATCTGTGACTTTGTGCTGGGTGCTTATTGATGATATTTTCAAACTAGCATGAACTTACTATATTTCAACCTTTATGTTTGAATAGAGTTGATAAGAATTACCACAAATGCTTGACAGACTCTCCCATAGGTAGGTGAGGACACTTGAGAATGAAAAGGGGCACTACTTCTGCCAGCATTGCAGGGTTTCAGCCTCCTGGGTGATTATTACAGTATCTTGGGGACTAGCAGCTTGTTCCAGTTTTAGAGTCTTTGTCTCAGCTTTCCCCACTGCTTGGGATGCTGTTTCTCACTGATGATTATTTGGCTGGATCTCTTGTCATTGAAATCTCAGCTAAATGTCACCTCAGACACCTATCCTTATTGTGGGCACCCAATCACTGTCTAACAAATCACTCTTTTTACTACAGAGCACCTTGTCTGTCTTTTCCCCTGAACTGTCAGCTCCATAACAGCAGGATTGTTCTTGCTTATGTATTCTCAGTGCCTAGAAGTATACTGGGCACAAAATGGTGCTTGAGAAATTTGTGAAAGGGAGTTAGGTTGGACCCTACCTACACTTTAGACAGAAAATTAACGGGTACTTCACTGTGTGTTTCCTGCTGGTTAATGTGAATGAAAAGAAATACTTTAACATTATGAAAAATGATACTACCCATTCCCTTACTTTAGCTACACTTGTTATTGAGGGGAAGGGGACAAGGAGGACATAGTCATTTGTAAAAGTACTTGGTACCATGATTTAAAAAGTACTTCTTTGTCACGGGAGCTAGTTTAACCTAAGGAACTCATTAACCTGGGGTGTTGTATAAGCCAAACACAGAAATGGATTTGACAAGAGTTTAGATTCATCTTGGAATGAGGAATTATTTTTATCAGGTTTGGGGTACAGCTGTAATCTGCAGGGGTTTGGGAAATAGAGAGCATTTTAATTTCCTTTCAAAGGCCACATATCCAGCTGGACTAGACATCTGCTTTCCACCCTCCTTGGGGATAGTTAAGACTGAGTATAAAATAAATGATTATTTCTCTTATTTTCCAAAACCTCAATTCAAGACTTAGGATATTGGATGCATTTGGGGCATCTTTTAGCCATTCATATTCCACATCTGAACCATTCAATTCATTGTTTTTATATTAGTATACCATAAACTGTTTGATATTATAAAACTGTCCACAGTGACAGTTTTCTTTCTGCAGTGTCATGTGACTGAAAGGCTGATGGCAAACTTCCAAGTTTAACAACTTTTCTGAGCAACCTGCTTTTGAGAGAAACTATATTTGCCTAAATGTGATTGAACAATGTTCATGTATGTGTGCAATGCTACCCAAATGGGACTTCAGGAACATCTGTGTAACTGAATGAATGGTATGCCTCTTTTAATGTTTTAGTTTAAACGCAAAGGAGCGTAAGAGTCTATAAATCTGAAGAACAGTATGCTGAATGCATTCATATACACTGTTTGTTTTTCTAACTACATGCTAGTTATCCCACATTACGTTCATTCACAGTAGTATTCTTCCAGTAATATTGCTTTCAAGACAAAGTAACAGTTTGCTGGAATGTTAATGTTCTTTTTGTCAAACATCTAATACCGTGTATTGCTTTTAATAAAAACAACGTGTTAAGTACTCTCAGGTTTACACTTGAACAACCTATTATTAATACACAAGGAAGATGTGCTTTGCCAATAAACATAATTGTACTGAATCATTTGATGCTTCTAATAAGCAAAAGAAAACATAAACCAGTCTTATTTTACTAGCAATGTTTTTAAGTGTAAGAGCTCAGCATAAGACTGTTAGTCTTCAATTGGTATATAATATTTTCTTTTGAAACAAGAGAAGTGCTGTTTATTTCAAGTACGATATATCCAAAGATTTGTGAAAACCTTCATTAAAACCTCACCACCTGGCACTTTCCTCTTTCTGTTATGTATAGGTTTCCCAAGCAGCTGCAGACTTGAAACAATTCTGTCTGCAGAATGCTCAACATGATCCTCTGCTGACTGGAGTATCTTCGAGTACAAATCCCTTCAGACCCCAGAAAGTCTGTTCCTTTTTGTAGGAAAATGAATCTTTCAAAGGTAAGTTTCCTTAAATAAATTTCATAAAACCCTTCATAGTAGGAATAGTCAATCTTTGCAATGCCTTAAAAGATCATTCCTTTGGCCCTCCAAGTTTCCAGTCTTTTTCTGTTTTGTAAGAAAAGTGAAGATTGATGAAACTTGCTGATTTAGTAGTCATGAAAACTAATTGTTTCTATTTAACCATAAAGAAGGTTAAATAGAAGATTTAATACTGTACAGAGGGTATAAGAGTTACTACACAATTCTGCTGTAACAAGCCATGTGTTAGTTACTGTTACAGCATTAAGCCTAATAGCATGTATATTTTGGGATCCCTAAGTACTAGTTTTGTTTTTGTGTACGGATCAAATAAATTTTTAGACAGTTGAAGAAAATCTGCAATGTTTATGGGGATGACTTTTAGTAAGTACTGTCAGTTGGTTTGGATTGTGATGTTATCGCTCTAGTAGAACCCAGGTATAGGACAGTATAGCAAAGAATTGGGAACTGGGAATGCAAGAGAAAATTAGGAGCTAGTTGAACAAGCAGACATTGTGTGGGCATTTGGAGTGAGGAATAACAGGTTTTACTTTTTAGTCTCATTTGTTAGACAAAGATAAGCATGAAAGAAATGAGGTATGTGAGTTCTTGGTGGCAAACAGTGGATTGAATTTCAGAGAATTAAGAAACTAAAGACCTGCTGGCTTTTTATTAAAGTATGCATCAGCATATTAATTTGTACCTTACAGATTACATA